AGAACAGCACAAGATAAACTTTACTTCACGTCAATTCGTCTACCACCTTTGATACTGTAAAGTATTTCAAGGTTCCACGCAGCATTCATTAGGTCTTCGCATAAATTTTGATACTAGATCAATAGACACTAAGTTTATTAACCAAAAGTAATTGAGCTTGTTCGCTAACACTGCTCAAGGTATGCGCCATCGGCCTGAACACATTTCTGCCATCTCTGAGGCAATTAATGAATACTGCGCCTATAGAACTCGTCATCATTGGATTTGAAAATAGTTGTCAAAGCGAATGATTGATGTCTCGGACCTTCTCATTGGTCAGGAACTGCTAGAGCAACCGACAGAGGTGACAGTGAGACAGCGACAAATCAGAACTGTACGGCGGATGATAAAACAACTCCCAGGACTGACGAGTCCGTAAGGAAGAAACACGTGTATCGGGCTGTACATAAGCCCTTACCAGACCACATGACAAGTTGGCTCAAATAATAATGAAAGGATCTATTGAAATTTGAGCGTGGTTTCAATAAAGCACTCGATTCAAAGGTACAATATGATAAAAATACCAGCCAACGAGCAATCGAATGCAGTTCTCTGTAAGGGAGCAGAGCTACCGAGGGAATTGACTATAAAAATATTGAAAGACGACGGGTTCTGCCCCACTCACGAGTCTGTAAAGACGAAACACGTGTATCGGGCTGTACATAAGCCCTTACCAGACCGCGTGACAAGTTGGCTCAAATAATAATAAAAGGATCTATTGAAATCTGAGCATGGTCTTAATAAAACACTTGAATTAGAGGTATAACTACCAGAGTAGTTCGATCAACTTCCTCTGCGTTAATTTGGCGACATACAGCCTTGAATTAAAATGAGATTTTGGCAAAATTGATGTGAGAGAACCCGATCGCAGCGGTACAAGTGCTTATAGTAACACTTGGCGTCTTTTCAACTGCTTTTCTGCCTCGATCAACTTCGGATGGACGTCCGGAGCGAGGCTATTCCAGTTAGTTGGCGGCTTAAAGCTCAGCAAGAAACCGAAACGCTGCACGCCTGGACACAATTCCTTGGATCTTTGTGATAAGAATTAGTGTGACAGAATTCTTTGGAGCCTCTCAATGGTTTTGTATGGTATTTCAAGTGGCACACAAACGTTTCGGCGTTCTCGCACGCCTCATCGGTGCCACATGCCCTGCAGTTCATCCCTACTACTAATATTAGGTGAGGAAGAAGTTCCTTAACACTTGCTAAATGTACAAAGTTTGTGCGTAAATTCAATTAAAATCGCAGTAAATATTCTCCATAGTAGAGACGATCGTTATCCCAACGATCTTCTGCTAACGATCTGCAAGCTTCCGTAGCTTTTTCTCTGCATGTGCTCAAAATCGCCATTCTTTGGCTTTAAGGGACGAAACTTCTGACATGCCTGTATAACCTGATCAAATGTCTCAATTCTGCGCCCGCACGGGATCTTTGATTGAGCGTAAGTAACCATAATGGGACAGCGCAGCATCTGGGCTGTAGGCTGGGTACTGCAAACCTCGACTCACTCCAATTTGTTAAACTTTTCATTAATCTTTTTGCAATGTGAGGTTTGACATCTTCTTGCTGACAGCGCGCACTTTCGACAAATCAATGTCGTGTATTTTTTCTCACCGCATCTAGAACTGGCTCAGCTGCTAGCAGTAGGTTTCGGCATTGATGTGGTGATCATTCGAAACAACTTCGAAATGCAAGACACCTTCAAAATAACACCAAACGCAGATCATCGCGGGTGTTAAGGAACAATTTTCCTCTGCCTTGTAATAGCGGCTTCGAAGATGTATCAATCTATACCAAATGAAAGTATTACTTGATGTTGCGTAGAGCAATTCACAGTCGATGACTTTTCTAATTCTATCAGACTATATTAAATTTTGAGCGAGGTATCAAACACAGTCGATTGCGAGGTATTGCTACATGCTTGGGTGAGATACAGCTGATTTAATAATGATAGAGCATGTCTGATTTGCAGGCCCATCCAGGCTCACACAGGGAGCACTTGTTACCCAAGTTTTCCGATTTAGTGAAGTCATAATAGAAGCACTACCGTCCCATAAAAAAATTGAACACCCGGCCTGTTGAAAAATATTTTGTGCGAGCGCATTAAAACAGAATACATTCTAAAAGTGTGTGGATTACATTAGAGCATCGGCCTTGAAATGACTGGTCTTTTGATGGAGAGCGAGAAAATAGTGCCAACTGTCCTGATCATTTCTATTGCAGAGCAGAGTTTCCTACCAGTTTTTGAAATATGTGGAGATATTTTTAGGAGCAATCTTGAAAAAACTTTATTACGGTGAATCATATGCATGTGGTCAAAAAACTTAGTGAAATGTTGCAAGAATAATAGATGTCGCATCTTCTCACCATGATAAAAATGATAAAGCTTTCCAGAAAATATTAGTGGAGCACATGTGCCACAGTGGTTTGAAGTACTCTGTATCACCCACGAGGTCAATGGCTCGATCTAGCTCTCATGGTTAACCAAGCCGTCCATCCCTTTGGGATCGGAACTTGTCTGGGAAATAGAAAATAAACAGCATAGACTAGATGTATCAGTCAGCCACCGAAATTCGTTTTAGGGGCCACCGATGCATTCATTTACTGCAAGCGACGCTAAAAATTAAAACAAATCCATCTCTCAACCCTCAGGAATTGATCAGCGCCAAGAGTTTTATCTTTTATCCTTTTGATAGAAATGAAGATGGTCTCCGATTTTGTTAGAACGCAAGTGACCACGGATTATAAAGACAAAAAAGGTGCCTCTAGTTATACATCAAGACTGCTCATGAATTGCATAACAACGATATCAATTAAATTTCATCATTCTTCACATATTAGTCATCATCTGCGTGAAGAGACCGACGGAAATGCGACTTTACCTCGTGAAAATGACAAGAAATGTGATATGCTAGATTCCGTCGTTGATTAAGATTGTGTCGCAAAGGCCAAATGTTGAAAGCCAGGTGGACCCGACAGGTGATGCCTCATTCTGACAATAGTTCTACAAGCGATGATAGCGACTGGGTTTCACAAGATTGAAATAACAAAACAAGAAGACCTTTGGCACGGTGATCAGACCACTTCACGAGGGCTCTGAACGAGAACCAGGGGCCCGAAAATCTTTATTTGGCTAAAATGTATATAGTAAAGCAGAACAATAGAAGATGGCAAGTTAGCACTAACAGGTCGCTTGAAACCACTGTTAAACTCAAGATCACTAAGCTAAGACAAAATCTCTAAATCCAAAAATGGCTTGTAAAGATAGTGAGTTAATTGCATTCCGAACTCACGACATGTGCTTAGATCCATTTAAGTTTTCTTCTATAATTCAACAGCATTTGGACATTTGATTCTACAACTATTTTCAAAAAATTTCTATGCAGAATACGATATGAAAGCCCATACGTATCTTCAATCTATACGCTCCAAGACGATAGAACCGGTCTTTGGAACGCGTGCGGAGAGTTGTCACCAACGACAACTGGAGCTAATCAGGAGTTTCAAGTATGCGAGGTTGACATCAACACACAAGTATATTTTCATCCAATAAATATCTTCAATAACTACATCTATGTGATAGCCAACTATTCAATTTTTCTAACCATGGCCTCTAATGTTTGATAGTTGATGCTTGATTTTTATCATCTTAATTTTCCATCGAAAATATTTGGTCAAAAGGCACTGCAGAGTGAACTGAGCTGTTGAATTTGATTGTTGCATATTTATACCCGCTTTATTGCTTGGTTCAATTTTTTCCTATTTCAAATCGGGTATTGCAGAAAGGTATGTTGCAAGACGATATGTTGGAAAATTATTGGAAGCTCGGTCACACGTTTGGATCCGGCCGTAGCGCCATCGCTTGCACATGAATGAAATTGGTAGTCTCAAGGTGATGTTTCATGGACACTTCATGCATTGACCGACCACCTCAAACTGCAAAGTCGACTGGCCCAACTTTAGAAAGACTGGGCTAGACCGCAGTACCACATCTACCGTTACCCCTAATCTTGCCCCGTCGGTTTGTTATCTTATCTGCGCCCAGAAGCAGCATCTACGAGAAAATCTAAAGATTGCAATCAACTCAAAAAAACCTCACTCACTTTGATAGTCCGTCCCACTGATACTGCGAGGAAAGCACCAAATCTTTACCCAACAAATCTTTGCGCATCACTGATCATGAGGGTGCTTGTGTTGTTGATCAATTGATTTCTTTTTCAAGATAACATTAGATCAGCAAAAGAACAAATGTTGAAAAGCAAAAATAATTATTGGATAAATTGCTAAAAGTGCAACAAAGAAGGTGATACGGCAAAACAAATAGTGAAAGAAATTACCATACAAAACGGCTCATCTTTGCACACATAGGTTTGGGAAAGTCGTAGATTGGGATTGTTGCCCCAATATGTTCACAACACCTGTGATACAAGCGATTGGTGAACCCTCATGATAACCTTGAATTTAACTTAGAGTAAGTAATTTGGTTTGAAAAGTCAAAGTTTTTTTTACGACGATTATGATGATTTCTTCAGAGAAATGTTAAAATTAGCTGATTTGTAGCTAAGATTTATGATAAAAGAAAAATAGTATTGTATGACTCGATCTAACAATACTCAGTAACATGATCAAAATGTGGCAGCCAATGATACGAATAGAATCCTGTGTCGGTTCTTAGATCATTACCGGATTTATATGAAAAAATATGGCATCATTTTCACCTATTCCTAATTCCATTAACACATTCAGTGTAACAAGAGCAAGACGGACTTATACCCTCATTTCAAGTCTATAATTATCTTATTCACAGAGACCTGGGAACCATGAGCAGGTTATGACGGATACCATCCAGTTGCATGCTTATCTCATCACATTGCCAAATAATCATTTTTGATGTTTTAATAAAACCAATGGTGCAGAGTGGTGTGGAAAAACATTCGCGTCAGCCGTGGAGTACAAAGCGAACATCGGTGGTGCAACGGTTTAGCACATGCTCTTGGAAAGAGTAAGATCTGGGTTCGAATTCAGGCTGATGCAAACGATTTTGCACACCACTCTACAATATAATATCATAACACCCCCAATAGGAGAGTCAAATAAAATGATTTCCGAAATCATTTTTGAGCCACGCATGTCATGTGGTCTGTTAAAGATGGGCTGACTTATGAAGCCCGACACACGTGTTTCGATCTTTCGTGTTTCGGCTCGAAAATGATTCTTTGGCATATTGAAGTTTAAGCCGTGGTCTTTAGAAAACACTCAAAACGAATGATATGATATGTTAAATATACTAGCCAAGAGCATCGAGTGTACAACATTCTGTGTTCGGTGATAATTTCACTAAACATAGAGTGCAAAACGTTCGTCGTCGCTAACTTTTAGTGTGGAAAAGGGGCACCCACAGAGATTGGCAGAAGACGAGAAAGGGTGACCGTCCGACTGACGACATCGCAGGATCGCAACACGTGTTTCGGGCTCTATAAGTCAGCCCATCTTTAACAGACCACATGACATGCGTGGCTCAAAAATGATTCTTCGATATACTGAAATTTGAGCTGTGGTCTTGAGAAAACACTCGAAACGAATGATGTGAAACTATTGAAGCAAGTTTCTTCGATAGCCTCAGTTAATGGAAATAAGCCTCCAGAAGGTACAACGTTCATTTCCGCATCTTTTGATTGCGTGTTTTTAAAGAGGAAACCAACTTCTTTCATTTCACATTTATCGCATGTAATCAATAAATCATTCAAGTTAATTACTTCTTCGACGAGATTGCATCTATGCGACCCAAACGAAGGTAAGAGTATTATTTTAAGTAAATAAGAAATAAGACCTGAGGATTGTGAACACGTCCCATAACTGCTGCGGCATCCGTGGCTTTATTTCGGAAGCCCAACAATGCGGTCCTCAGTTCTTAATTTGGAAAATATTCAAAGGTACTATCTGACATTGTTTAAGAAAACCGGAACATCTATCCCTCAAAACGTCTTGTTCCTTTTCACAAATGAGTTGATATTGTTTAACTGCTGATTTAACCCACAGGGCCCTTTGGCTCTATATATTGCTCGGGAGTTTGAGCTAGAGAGCGTCACATAGCTACGACAAAAGTAAGGACCTCTACCGATTGCCAACAAGAATTGACCAAACAACGACGAACGAGGATCTTTCGCTTAGCCCGTATTTTTCTTAGCCGCGAAGGGACGCTATACGTTTTCTTATAATTAAGTGTCTCTAACTCAATGTTCATGAAGTCTATGGCCTATGCTCGCTACACGAGCTAACCTTCATGTGAATGTCAAAGATCCACCAACAGGAAATAGCCTTGACTATGAAGAGTCCTGAAAACAGTATATTACGGTGAGTCATAAGCACACGATCTAAAAACTCTTAAAGCATTGCGAAAGTGAAAGTTGTCGCATTGAAGAAACTCTTCAATTCCATTAATATGTGAGCGACGATGGAAAGTATAAGCAAAAGGTGCTTCTAGTCCTAGATAAAGGTCGACTCTGAATTGCAGAACAACAACTGCATTGACAGAAAATTGCCATTCTATATATTAATCATTATCGGCGGAAAGAAACAGATTTGTAGGCGACATCACCTCGTAAAAATAATGAAGCTGATTGGTGAGCATATGTTTTCAGTGCATAACATCACACTTATCTCTTTGATTTTACGACTACAGCCGTGATGAGTATCTCGAAATGTGAAGTGTCTTCAAAGTCAAGACAAGAAATTATATAATCTCTACTTCACCGCCCATAAAAGATCGTTGCCGCAGACATTAAGTGCTGAATTCACAAGGATCGCAGAGGTTATGCGTCTCTCTGACAAAAGTTGCATAAGAGACACTAGCCAGTTGGTTCCATAAGATTGAAGCCTAAAATAAGAAGACCATCGACAGGCTGATCAAACCACCTCACGAAGATTTTTAATCACTTGACGACCGTAGGTACCGTTTCTGATACATAGCGTGCTCCGCGCTCGCGGCGGCGGTGGCTGGCCGGCGGCGAGTACGTGTCAGTACGCTCATATGGAAATAGAGATTTACTTGTTTATTTAAGGTTTTAAGAAGATATTACTGGCATTGAGTGATGAAATGTCACAAAGGAAACTTCTATAAAGGTTTTTTGGTTAAGAAAACGGCCATCTGTCGGAAATCAATCTATGTTTGAACAAAAGAACCACATCCCTTTGAAAGGGAACTTACTTCCAGTCGTTGAGGAACATTTGCTTCTCCCTCCATGATTTATGTTTGTGCACTCATTTGATAGCTTGAAAAATGCCGATCCTCACCCTTATCTTAGATTTTTGCGAAAGCTTCATATTTCATGCTGCTGTTGAGAAAAAGAAAAGATTTTGCCCTCAAAGTGTGTTGCTGCAGTTCCACAACGGATTTTTTTGGTATTATATACTAGAATTTTGATGTTAAGTAAATTTTCTCGCTAGAAAAAACTAGACTATCACTAAATTGGCTTCTTTATACGTATTTTTATGAGCAAGAGCACTCTGTTGTCTCAAAAGTCTACACTTTTGATCAAGAATCGCAAAGATGCGGTCGCACTTATGTGAAAAGTGCTCGTGTTTCCTTCTTCTTCTCCTAAAAGAGCCATTTTACCAAGTTATTAATAATCATTCGCTAGCTTGTGAACTGAAAATTTCAACAATAAGCTTGGTTTGTGGAAGTACGAAAAGGTAATTATGAAGAGAATTGAGTTTTGCTTTTGGTGCAAGCTGTTTCAACTTTACAGCGAATTTTTCAGAATATATAGTTCATTTCGATTTTGAGAAACTTTTATGTTAATAAAATATTACAGAAGAGACTTTTATAAAGTGTTTTATAGTAGAGATTAACCCCATGCATCAAGAAATATTCCATGTTTCAACGAGAAAGTCCACATTGTCGCAAGAGGGAATATATTTACAAGTGTTATCTAACAGATCCCTTCATTATTATTTAAGCTAACTTGTCATGTGGTCCGGTAAGGGCTCTTGAACAGCCTAATACACGTGTTTCGTCCTTACAGACTCGTCAGCCGGGCAGAACCCGTCGTTTTTCGATCTTTTTATAGTCAGTTTTCTTGGAGCCTTACACTCCTTGTAGAGAGTCATCGACGACGAACGTTTTACACTCTATGTCCTGTAAAATGTCCACTTAACCCAGAGTGTTGCGCACTCGAGACTCTTTGGCTGGTACTTCTATCATAATTATACCTTTATTTCGAGTGCTTTGTTTAGACCACGCTCAAATTCCAGTAGATCCTTTCGTTATTATTTGAGCCAACTTGTCATGTGGTCCGGTAAGGGCTCTTGTACAGCCCAATACACGTGTTTCGTCCTTACAGACTCGTCAGCTGGGCAGAACCCGTCGTTTTTCAATCTTTTCATATTCAGTTCTCTCGGGAGCCTTACACTCCTTATAGAGAGTCATCGACGACGAACGTTTTATACTCTATGTCATGTGAAATGTCCTCCTAACCCAGAGTGTTGCGCACTCTATAAGGAGTGTTAGGCTCCCGAGAGAACTGACTATGAAAAGATCGAAAGACGATGGGTTCTGCCCGGCTGACGAGTCTGTAAGGACGAAACACGTGTATTGGGCTGTACAAGAGCCCTTACCAGACCACATGACAAGTTGGCTCAAATAATAATGAAAGGATCTATTAAAATTCGAGAGTGGTTTGAACAAAGCACTTGAAATAAGGGTGTTATCTAACACTCGTTCCTTTTTTCATTTACGTTTTTGCAGTCATTCGATAGCTTGAGAAATTTAGATTTTCGTACTGAGTTCGCTTTGCGAAAAGGCTTTTACAGTACGCTCAGCTAATTAAAGGAAAGGCAAAGTTTTGCAAGAGGAATATATTTTTCCAACTTCACCGGGAATTTTTGGCTTCTTATAGTGAAATTATGATTTCAGAAAACTTTGTCGCCATAAAGTATTGAATATTACTGCGAAGATCTCTATAAACGTGTTCTTAGTAGAAACAGCACATAGTTGTCCAGAAAATTCCACTTTTTGGTACGAGCTGTGCGAAATGCAGTCACTTTCTGTTAAATGTGATCGTATTTCCTTGCATTTTATTAAGACCATCGCTGGGAAAAATGCGCCTCGCCTTTGGAATAGTAATCTCATCGCTTGAATTTTGCCAAAAGTTGTTTTGACAGTTATATAGCGGAATTTAAATGATGTGAACACTTGATTGTTATAAGAGAGCGACAAATTACCAAAAAATTTCGTAGGCATTTTCAGTTGGAACTCGACACGTCCCGAAAAACCGCGTTCAGCAGGAAAACCACAAAATGAGTTTACTACCAACTCTTACTTCCCATTTCTGTCTGACATCTTGTAGGAGTATGACCGCCTTTTTCGATCTCATCATTCCTCCTCTAGATATCTGTCTGCTGGCCCAGAGTTGTACTGTACATGCAAAAGACCCAACTCCTCATTACATTCGGGAAGTATATCCATAGCAATTAACAAGCTCAGTGTGTGAATAATTCTACGGTTAGCTAAACAGGAGTAAAAGTCTCAAGCTTTTGTTCGAACGTGTAGGCGGAAGAACCGGATCAAATCATGCGGTGGGTTGAATACTCCCACTGGTGATAACTATGCCCATCGGAAACAGTTGGGCAACGGGTGGTCTCCGTTTTACTGTTGGACGTCTATCCACCTGGATGTCGTCACATTGGAGTTATTAGGGGAGCTGGGAATTTGATCGGCCGCATGAAATCTTCTTGAGGACAACAAGTGAAAGGAATATGTAAAGGGCGTAAACGGTACAAATATCCAGTGTCAAAATCGCTGCAATAGAAAGCGTTCGCATGACAGAATAAACGCGGATAAAAGAGTTGATACCCATGAATCGATGAAACAAAATCTTTCTGTATTTCACAAAGGTTCCAACTCTAGGAGTCTACTATTGAGGCATTCCGTGGAATGAAATAGTTGAAAAACTAGAGAACTCTTAGCGTAATTTTTAATTTCAGGAGAATAAAGTGATAAGTGTTTGATTGTTTGATTATTCTTCATATGAGGC